ATTTGAGACATCAGCTCCTTTCTGCCACGACTCTTGTCAAAATGCGCGGGCACACGACCCTTCTGCTCAACCCAGCTGAATTCTTCATCTGGAAGTCATGCACACGCAGTTTCCACTAAACAACCCACCATAACATATAATTTCTGATTGTTGAATACATATGATTTATGATTGTTGGACAATGAACAACATAACAAGCTACACATGTGCTACAAGCTTCGTTGTCAAACGCTCACGCGTTGTGATGTGTAATAGCACGACAACAAGCTGCCAAGCAGAAAACCCATCAAACGTATATAGCGACGGACATACACTTAGAAACGGTATTGGCTTCCACGATTCCCGACAAACACTTAGAAACGGAGGAACAGTAAATTCAGGACTTAGAACGGTTCGGCCGACCAACACTTAGAAACGTTTTGCCTCCTCTATGGCAATTCTGAAACGTTTCTAAGTGTTGCCCGAGAGGCACCTGCGCCTTCTAAGCGTTGGTCACGGACGCTGCCCCGAGGGAGAAAAGAGTTGACCATGCAAGAAAAAACAACGGAATTACACAATGAATCAAACACTGAAATTGTTTCTTACAAGTAGTAATTTCATCAGTTATTCATCCTTTTGGCATGGTTTGGCGTCATCATTTGCTCTGATGACTTTTCGTTGCTTTCTGCACACATTTTCTGTATATGTGTATAAATTTATGTAGTGTGAACAAATGACGAGACTACTTGATGATTTCCTAGCTGTTTCCCTAATTTTCATGGTTTTCAAGGATTTGCATCTTTGTCCGGAAATCATTATGGTTGCATCATTCTGTTCATCATCTTTCCATGACGCTTCCATGAGTGACACCTGCAAAAACGCGTCGTTTTGTTGGAAGAAAGGGTACGCTTTGAACAGAAACCAAGAAAAACACAACCTACAAACCACAAAAACAACGATTGCACCAGATCAAAGGCGCCGCTCGTACCGCGCAGCAGGGCCCTTCCAACACGTTGGATCCAGCGACGCGCTTGGAATCAAAAGCAATTGCTTATGTTACCCTAACATTGAGCTTCATAATCAACACCGCCGATTACTAAGGAGCGCTTTCGCAATCAAATGATAAACACTTCCATACACGTGTACACTCTGACACAGTCCCCCGCGACCACTCCCTAAATATGTACATATACATGTTTTACACACACAGTGTCTCAAGACAAGTGAGTATTCAACCCGAAATCAGCGCAGCCAAACTGTTGTTCGCATCCAGCGTGTTCATCAAACAAGGTCAAACCCAACAGCAAGCGTATGCGTCAAGCGCGCCCTCCTCGGTGCCCCGCCAAGCGTGTAGACTTCGCCTAGCACGAGCGCAAAGAAAAAAACAATGTGTATATATATATATATATGTATAAAGACACACAGAAGCCCAGAAACCGAAACATGGATCTCTGCTCTCTGAATTTTGGTAGTTCTGTATTTAAGCCCTTAGAGAGCAGGTAACCATTCAATGTCCTCTTCTGTACATATAATCAGGTTTCAACATCTGCGGTGTGACCATTCCATGGCACATAGCTCGCCCAAGGACGGTTGGTCCAGCTCTTTTCGACGCCAGCGCCCCGCAATCCATCACACCCCTCCCAAAAAGACAGTGTCAAAACGCGCAGTATCGCAAGGCTAGCGACTTGTGGCATGTTTTAACGGCATATATATATATATATATATATATATCACACGCTGCACGCAAACGCGCGCCCCGGCCTGCGTGCGAGGCACCCATGCTTTTCCTGCTCCTCCTGCTCCTCCTGCTCCTCATGTTCGTCCTGCTGCGCATCTCCTGATCGCCCTGCCGCAGTTGGCCCCGGAACCTTCCTACAGCTTTTGCAGAACTCTTTAAGCTTGTGGAGCCTTACCTCAGGGCTGCCCCGAGTAATCCAAGCATTTACTCTGCTGCGTTGTCTAGACAATGCCAAATCCTTTCAAGCCACGTTGTCTGAGCAAGTGCTCAAAACCATTGATTTTCGGTTTTGCTTGCTCACCAGCCTCGTGGAACCCTTGCTCGTGGAACAGCGAGTGTGAAACCATTGCGCAACCTGTTCCGGACCATTTTGTCAAATTTTGTGAAGATTGAACTTTCGTAGAATGCTTGGCACTTACGTCAGGGACCTGGTGGAACTGTGGTAGAACCATCGTGAAGATGAACCGCACCTCAGGACCATCAAGCTTTCAGCTGTTCACTAAGACTCGATCAGCAAGTGACCAGCTTCGCAAAACGACAAAGAAAAGCTTCTACTTTTGAGTTGTAACACTGAGCAACCCGTGTACTCCTAGGGCTGAAAGCAGGTGACGTGAAGGGGATGAAAGTTGGTTGCGCCCCGCCATCAAGGAAGCTCCCCAGCCACCTGAGTCAGGTTCTGAATGGCCTTGTCAGCTTTGAAAAGGATACCCAGTACTGATGGGCCCTTTGCAGACACTCCTGCTCTGGGGCTGGGCGCCCCCTTAAATTCTGTCTGACAGCTTCCTCCACTTCTCAGCAACGTTGAAGCATCAAGGTAAAGGGACCAGGCCGGGGTATCTTCATCCAATTCAGGGCAGGTGACGGCAAATCTCCAGGCGCCAAACTCTTGCATGAACTGCAGCCACTCATCCGGCAAGGCAAAGAGATAAAATGAGGACCCGCGCCTGTGAGAGTGTGAAGATCGCCAAGGTGGCCTTGTTCGACTTCTCTACTCCGAACAGCCCTGTAACTCGGCTTCACAATCTCTCTCTCTCTCGAAAAAGGAGCTTGGCCTGACCTGTTAGCCAGAGATGCAAGGCTGTCCCGAGCAGCAGAGCCAGCCTGTCTACTCTGAGACCGACGCTGCTCAACAGACCAGAAACCGAAAAAAAAAGAGTTTTTGGATCTCGACCACGCCGATCTTCGCAGAGGGTCGCGCGGGCAGAACAGGAATCGAAAAAGACCTCGAGTTGTTGTACCTCGACCACGCCGATCCCCGCAGAGGGTTCATCCGCGCGCCGCAAAAGCGGAAAAAAAACCTTGAGTTTTTGCACCTCGAACACGCCGATCCCCGCAGAGGGTCGCAATCCCGATCGAAGATCAAAGTCCTGCCCCGGCGCCCTAAAAGCCTAAACTTAACTTACATAGCTGCTAACGCCGAAGCGCTATGCACTTGGCTCTACGCACTTGGCTCTATGCGCTTGGCTCTACGCACTTGGCTCTACGCACTCGGCTCTATGCATTTGGCTCTGCGCGCTTGGCTCTGCGCGCTTGGCTCTATGCACTCGGCTCTACGCACTCGGCTCTATGCACTCGGCTCTGTGCACTCGGCTCTATGCACTTGGCTCTATTTGCACTTGGCTCTATGCACTTGCTCTATGCACTTGGCTCTATGCACGGCTCTATGCACTTGGCTCCATGCACTTGGCTCCATACATAGAGCGCAAGTGACTCTATGCAAGTTGGTCCGAGAGCTCCGCACGGAAGAACCCTTCGCGATGTTTTTGGGAAAAAGTAGCTGCTGTCAAAAAAAGAAGAAGAAAAAACACGTTTCTATCTGTATGTCCGTCACTATATTGGTCAGAAGAATAGACACGCCACCGTCCAAAACCCGCGCCCAGGCTAAGGAATCTCGAGTCATGACCAAGCAAACACAAAGCTAGAAAAAAAGGGCGCCTGTGGATGCTCTTCTTTGCACCTTGCCAGGCTCGGGAGGCGTTGGACATTGGGTAAGACTTCAAAAGCTGACTGCAACCCTGCAGCCTGAGGCGGCAGAAGTTGCACCCTTTCCGGGATATCCTTCCTTGGCTCGACGGGCCAGTCAACTGCAAAATTGACGAGCCACTGTCAGGGAACTGCCACACCCTCACAGAGCAGGCCACACTTTCAAAGGGGTGTCCTGCACACTGAAAAACTCAAGCTGAAGTACTTTGATGTGAACATCTCGCGCACTGAAACCCCTTCCAGAACCTTCAGCGATGCCGTCAAGCTGCGCCGGCCGCTTCCGCAGCTGCGCAATGTGCTCCTCCACATCCCGAAGGATGGAGCTGTGCAGTTCTTGCAGTTGGTCTTGCAGCAGCTTGTCGTGCAGCAGCTGCTCTTGCAGCTCGCCTGGAACAAATCACGAGCCAAATGCCCAAAATGTCAAAAGCAGACCTGGCCTGAGCTATGCGACCTGAGCCCCAAGCAATGCCTTTACTTCCTGCTTTAGCAACAAAGCCGCGCAGCAAAACATGTTCTTACATCCAGGCATGGACAAGCAATATCTTGCTGGCCACCCAGTCATGAGACAAAGACAAGCAAAGCTGAGGCCACAGCACTGGATGCATTGGATAGCCAGGATGCGATGGTGCTGCGTGCGCTTGTGCTGCGCGCGCTGCATGTGCTGCCTGCGCTGCGCGCGCTGTTGGCAGCGCTGGCACCTGCCCGTGACCCCTTCGTTTCACCCATCCTTTTCAGAAACCACCCAACTGCTTGGATTTCTTTGGCAAGCTGAAAAAAGGGGATTCCTCATGGCAAGCTGAAACGAGGGATCGAGCAAAGGGGGGAGGAGTACCGCTCACGCTGGGATCCAAGTGGTTCTACTCTTGCAACCACGGACCGGAGACCGAAAAGTCGCCTCCGGGTAGCTTGGCGCCTTGGACCGATCCAATTTGAAGCGGCCATGTCTTCAATCCCAACGCAGAGTCGGGTTTGTCGGGTTGACCCTGTCTCAATTTGTGGCCAGCACCAGCCCGGTCTTTGCCTAGGGCTCTCGCGTAGCACATTGAAGGACTTAGCGCAGGCCTGGGCTGAGCATTTCTTCGGCTCGTGTTTGCCTTGCGGTGTGCTACGTGTAAGGATTGAGTAAGCCGTCAGCCACTGCATACAGGGTGTCCACGCACAGGGCTGTGGCATTGGGACACTGCTGGTGCCTCCGACAAAGGATCAATTGACTGCGGTTGAAGTGCATTGCACACGTGTCAAAAACATACACGTACATAGACACAGACACAGACACAGACCCAGACACATACACATACACAAACACAAGCACATACACATGCACAAACACAAACACAGACCACACACACACACATACACATATACATATACAAAAACATAGTATACACATACATAAACAAAAACAAATTGTATGTCAAGGCATGTATGTGTGCATGGATATGTGTATGTGTGTGTGTGTGGGTATGAATGTGTATGTGTATACGAGTCTGCGTGTTTATGTGTGTTGTTGATGCTGTGTTTATGTATGTATGTGTGTATGCGTATGTGCATGTGCATGCATATCAGTGTGTGTCTATGCTATGCGTGTGCATACAATGCATATGTACACAAATATGCCCAAAGATGGCTCTGAAGTATGCGTACATGTACAAGTGCATGTGCGTGTGTATCTATATATATATATATACACACGTACACGTATATGCATATCTGCATGTACATGTGCTTGTGTATGTATATGTCATGTATATGTACATGCGTAGTGCACATGAATGTATGTGTTTATGTACATGTTCATGTCTGATTAATTGTCGCTTGCTGATTGCAGTGCAGAACGCCAAAGAAGCACATGTCAATGCCTCAAGCTGCGCTCTTTGGTTCCGAACTCAGCCAGTCCTGATCTACTTGCGCACGAAACTCTCGGAGAGAGAGGCGCAGCATAGGTCCTGCGACGAAGATTTCAACTGGCAGGCTTTCGGTTCAGAGCTCACTCAGTCTGCGGCAGATTTGGCCCTGCCACCTTTAGCTGCGCTTGGCCTGCAATCAGGAAGCATAAAGTTTGTACAGTAGAGAAAATTGAGTTGCAAGCATGTGGATGCAGAGCTGGCCTGTAAATTGTGCTGGCACGGATAGCGAGTTCATTTGCCTCAAAAGCAACGTGCAATGGATAGCTGATTCTAGCAATTGAAAAGACTGCAGTAGCCTAATCATCAACCATCAATAAATTCCACCGAAAGTGATGGGTCAGAACGGCCAAAGCTGTTTGCAGTAACCACGCCGAAGCCCTGTTCGTTTGCTCAGGTAGATCTACGTCAACAAGCACGGCTTGGGCTTGGACGGGATCAGACACCCTTGCAGCATGTTTACCCGCTCAATGCGACTGAACGTACGGTGGTGGATCTTGCTGTGATTGCTCTTGTGGTTGTTGCTTTGATTGTCGTTGCGGTCGTGGTTGTTGCGGTCATCATCCATCGTCCTTAGCATTGTTGTGGCCGTCCTCATCTTTGTTCATGTGCTGTTGGGGATCGTATTGGGGCTGTTGGTGTTGGTGGCGGTTGCTGTTGCTGTCGTTGTTGCTGCTGTTGCTGCTGTAATCGTTTTTCTCGATGTGTTTCTTCTTGATATTCTTCTTCTTCTTCTTCTTCTTCTTCTTCTTCTTCTTCTTCTTCTTCTTCTTCTTCTTCTTCTTCTTCTTGACGTTGCTGCGGAGCTCGAAGGGCCCCCAACTTCTCAGCGCCAGGCGGGACAACGGGCTCCATGGCAATGGGCTCCATGGCCTTGCCAAGTCCCCAGCCGCGGATCCAGTCCCAAAAGTGGGGAGGGACCCTCAAAATGTTTCCCCAAAACAAACACCACCCAAACACCACCCAAACACCACCCAAACACCCAAAACACCAAACAATGTTTTCTTTCTCTTCCCCCAAACACCACCCACAAAAGGGGCACCCCCGAAAGGAAACCGACTTGACTCCTGGAACCGGGCCCATTCAAAACCTGATCATGGCGTGAAGCGAACACTGTTCGCTTACATTGCCATGCTAGTTTGTTGAAGCTAGTTAGTTGTGACCATTGAGGGGAATCTGTTGTGTGTACGGATTGCATGGTCAAGTCTATGGACCATCCTGAGCAGCGGTTGTTTATGTTTACGTTGCAATGCAGTTGCTTTTATTTCAGGAGTTGATCGTTCTGAGTATTCGTTGTCTTTGCCAGTCTAAAGCATTTTGATCGGAGTGGGTGTTGGGTTCAAGTCTAGGTTGGCGTGCGATTTTGACTGGTGGTTCTTGGAGCTTGTGCTGCAGGATTGCTTCTAGTCAATAGCAAATATCTGCCAGCCACACCCAAACCCGGTAAGAAACAACGCTGCCCACATGTAAACCAATCTGGCTGATAGATGGGTTGTGTCTGATGGTGGGTGTGTCCTTTTTTGAGCCCCCCCCCCCCCCCAAATGGTGGTTTTCTTTTGAAACAAATCAAAGGAGGTTCCCCAAAAGCGACCCCAGATCTGCTTCCAGCAGAAAGCGCTCCTGGGCAGGGCTCAGCGAGAGGGCGGTCACCTGGCCCTGTCGGCTGCATCAACTACAAACTCACAAATGATTCCACGCTCAAGCATGGCATTGTCACACTTGGCCAGGCCGCATTGGCAATATTGGCTGATCGCCTTGGCATAGACTCCAACAGTAGTGTCACAATCTGCCTTGAGCAAAAAGTGGGAATCAAAGTCCTGCTTTTCTGTCAAAGCTTCTTAAGTCGACAAAGGCACGACGAATCATCTCCTGCCATGGTGTCAGTTGAGGCGGGCACCGTCTAAGCGGACTGGACATAAGCCTGACAGCAACGCTCAAAGCCTTGAGACATTTAGGAAACTCAAAGACGCAACGTTGCTTTGGTTTTAAACGTTGCATAACCCCCGCGACTTTTGCTCCAACTGCAAGAAACTCCAACCTGAAAGACACATTGGGCACCACCAAAGGTAGATGAAAAGACCATGGGCCGGATCGCAGCTCAGGCTTTGCATGACATGACCCGCATCCCGGCCTGTCTGGAGCAAAGCTCGACGTCATGTCAAGAAAACGACGCTTGCAGCACAGGCTCTGGCGAGGTTTCCACAAGTAGGGCTCAGATTATGTGTGCGAGGGTGCAAAAATGTCAAGATTCAAGAGCCCATCAGCTAACCAGTTTGACGCGGCCAAAGAACAATAAGCTTCATATTGTCATGTCTGCTTCCAAGCAATGTGAAACTAGAGCCTCGAGACAGTGAATGCGAGGGTGGAGCAATCTTTGCAAGTACATTTACTGTTGACTGTTGCGATGCAGCGCACGCCAGCTCTTAATTTCGTCGACATGACGCCAGCTACACTCATTCTGACTAGGCTACCCATCCTGGAGGAACCTGCCCAGCTGCATGCACACTGCACTGCTACCAAGATACAATGCTACTTGCAAGTGCTACCTGACCTAGCCAATGGTGGACACACAGACTGTGCGTGAGACAAGGCCGGCTCAAGTCATCGTCTCAGCCTCTTGAACGCTCGTTCATCCTCCCCCTTGTCAGAACCTTCATTGAAGGAACTTCACGCCGTGCGCCACTTGGCTTGAGCACAGACCAGGCACAAACCATATGGTTTCAAGAAGCGCTGCGCCCTTCATTGCACGTGCTGGAAAACATCAAAAGCAAACCGCCTCTCGTTATGTATGGTTGCCGCATTGCTTGCTTCAGTGCCGCCTCAAACTGTTGCTGTTCGGCTTCTCCCAGCGTTTGCGTTCAAACATGACACAGGCTGTGGTCTGCCAAGCACACCTCCAATATTACTATGCCTAGCATGAAGCTCCTGAAGAAAACATTCAGAAAACGGACTAGAAGTAAGATCATGCAACATAGCTGCTCGGGCCACAGGACTTGTTTTTGCCGGTGGGCTTCCTTCATGCACTGCGTGAGACTCCTACAAAGAAAAAAAACACGACGACGACGCCACAGCAATGGCATCCTGCCGAATTACAGCCCGGCAATCGCCCTCAGCCCACCAGAAACACAAGCTCCGCCAGCCAGAACTAGTCGAATCCAACCTCCATTAACCTTTAGGCAGTCGCAGGCACATCTGCCCAGCTACATGCACACTGCACACGCGCTAAAATGCTACAATGCTACTTGCAAGTGCTGCCTTACCTAGCCAATGGTCACACAGACTGTGCGTGAGACAAGGGGTCTGTGGCCAGCGTAACAAGGAATGAAGGCCCAGAGCCGGCTCAAGTCATCGGCTCAGCCTCTTGAACGCTCGTTCATCCTCCCCCTTGTCAGAACCTTCATCGAAGGAACTTCACACACGCCGTGCGCCACTTGGCTTGAGCACACAAGGCACAAACCTCATGCTTCACAATGGCTCTGGAAAACATCAAAAGCAAACCGCATGTCGATATGTATGTTTGCTGCATTGCCTGCGACTCGAGCTGTAGTCTGCCAAGCACCCTCCAAGAAACTGTTCAGCATGCGTGATACGGCAATGCTAAATTCTGCTGAAGGACACGCTCAGCAAAGAGAACAAGACTCCTTTTGCCGCTGGGCATCCGGTCATGCACTGTGTGAGACTCCTACAAAGCAAACAATGGCATCCTGCCGAAGTACTGCCCCGGCAAAGACCCTCAGCCCACCAGAAACACAAGCTTCGTTAACTAGAATTAGTCTAATGTAACCTCCACTAACCTTTAGGCAGTCGCAGGCACATCTGCCCAGCTACATGCACACTGCACACGCGCTAAAATGCTACAATGCTACTTGCAAGTGCTGCCTTACCTAGCCAATGGTCACACAGACTGTGCGTGAGACAAGGGGTCTGTGGCCAGCGTAACAAAGAATGAAGGCCCAGAGCCGGCTCAAGTCATCGGCTCAGCCTCTTGAACGCTCGTTCATCCTCCCCTTGTCAGAACCTTCATTGAAGGAACTTCACACACGCCGTGCGCCACTTGGCTTGAGCACACACAAGGCACAAACCTCATGGTTTCAAGAAGCGCTCTGCCCTTTCATGCCAGGCTGCTGGAAAACATCAAAAGCAAACTGCCTGTTGTTATGTATGTTTGCTGCTTTGCTTGCTTCAGTGCTGCTTCGACTCATTGCTGCTGTTCGGCTTCTCTTGCTTGCATTCAATCATGACAAGGGCTGTGGTCTGCCAAGCACCCTCCAAGAAACTGTCCAGCATACGTGATATGGCAGTGGCTAAATGCTGCTGAAGGACACTCAGCAAAAAAAACAGGACTCCTTTTGCCGATGGGCTTCCTTCATGCACTGCGTGAGACTCCTACAAAGCAAAAACAGCATTACACCGCAACAATGGCATCCTGCCAAAATACAGCCCCGGCAAACACCCTCAGCCCACCAGAAACACAAGCTGCGCCATCCAGAACTAGTCGAATCCAACCTCCACTAACCTTTAGGCAGTCGCAGGCACATCTGCCCAGCTACATGCACACTGCACACGCGCTAAAATGCTACAATGCTACTTGCAAGTGCTGCCTTACCTAGCCAATGGTCACACAGACTGTGCGTGAGACAAGGGGTCTGTGGCCAGCGTAACAAGGAATAAAGGCCCAGAGCCGGCTCAAGTCATCAGCTCAGCCTCTTGAACGCTCGTTCATCCTCCCCCTTGTCAGAACCTTCATCGAAGGAACTTCACACACGCCGTGCGCCACTTGGCTTGAGCACACAAGGCACAAACCTCATGCTTCACAATGGCTCTGGAAAACATCAAAAGCAAACCGCATGTCGATATGTATGTTTGCTGCATTTGACTCGAGCTGTAGTCTGCCAAGCACCCTCCAAGAAACTGTTCAGCATGCGTGATACGGCAATGCTAAATTCTGCTGAAGGACACGCTCAGCAAAGAGAACAAGACTCCTTTTGCCGCTGGGCATCCGGTCATGCACTGTGTGAGACTCCTACAAAGCAAACAATGGCATCCTGCCGAAGTACTGCCCCGGCAAAGACCCTCAGCCCACCAGAAACACAAGCTTCGTTAACTAGAATTAGTCTAATGTAACCTCCACTAACCTTTAGGCAGTCGCAGGCACATCTGCCCAGCTACATGCACACTGCACACGCGCTAAAATGCTACAATGCTACTTGCAAGTGCTGCCTTACCTAGCCAATGGTCACACAGACTGTGCGTGAGACAAGGGGTCTGTGGCCAGCGTAACAAGGAATGAAGGCCCAGAGCCGGCTCAAGTCATCGGCTCAGCCTCTTGAACGCTCGTTCATCCTCCCCTTGTCAGAACCTTCATTGAAGGAACTTCACACACGCCGTGCGCCACTTGGCTTGAGCACACACAAGGCACAAACCTCATGGTTTCAAGAAGCGCTCTGCCCTTTCATGCCAGGCTGCTGGAAAACATCAAAAGCAAACTGCCTGTTGTTATGTATGTTTGCTGCTTTGCTTGCTTCAGTGCTGCTTCGACTCATTGCTGCTGTTCGGCTTCTCTTGCTTGCATTCAATCATGACAAGGGCTGTGGTCTGCCAAGCACCCTCCAAGAAACTGTCCAGCATACGTGATATGGCAGTGGCTAAATGCTGCTGAAGGACACTCAGCAAAAAGAACAGGACTCCTTTTGCCGATGGGCTTCCGTCATGCACTGCGTGAGACTCCTACAAAGCAAAAACAGCATTACACCGCAACAATGGCATCCTGCCAAAATACAGCCCCGGCAAACACCCTCAGCCCACCAGAAACACAAGCTGCGCCATCCAGAACTAGTCGTCCAACCTCCACTAACCTCTGCCCAGCTACATGCACACTGCACACGCGCTAAAATGCTACAATGCTACTTGCAAGTGCTGCCTTACCTAGCCAATGGTCACACAGACTGTGCGTGAGACAAGGGGTCTGTGGCCAGCGTAACAAGGAATGAAGGCCCAGAGCCGGCTCAAGTCATCGGCTCAGCCTCTTGAACGCTCGTTCATCCTCCCCCTTGTCAGAACCTTCATTGAAGGAACTTCACACACGCCGTGCGCCACTTGGCTTGAGCACACACAAGGCACAAACTTCATGGTTTCAAGAAGCGCTGTGCCCTTCATTACACGGGGCTGGAAACATCAAACACAAACCGCCTGTCGTTGTGTATGTTTGATTCATTGCTTACTGCAGTGCTGCTTCAAGCCTTTGCATTGTCTGATGAGCGCAAACTGCCCCAGAGAGCTCACTTGTTTTGCCACCCAGCATCCTGTGGTCTCGCTTCTTTACAAAACAAAAACAACCAAACATTGAAACACCATAACAATGGCAGGCTACCGAATTTGAGCCGTGCCAAATGCTCAGCCCACCAGAAAAACATGCTCCGCCAATCACTCTGAATCCAAACTCCACGAATTTTGAAACAGTTGCAGCAACATCTGCCCAGCTACATGCACACTGCGCGCGCTCTAAAGTGCTACTACCTGACCTAGCCAATGGTCACACGGACAGTGTGTGAGACAAGGGGTCTGTGGCCAGCGTAACAAGGAATAAAGGCCCAGAGCCGGCTCAAGTCATCGGCTCAGCCTCTTGAACGCTCGTTCATCCTCCCCCTTGTCAGAACCTTCATCGAAGGAACTTCACACACGCCGTGCGCCACTTGGCTTGAGCACACAAGGCACAAACCTCATGCTTCACAATGGCTCTGGAAAACATCAAAAGCAAACCGCATGTCGATATGTATGTTTGCTGCATTGCCTGCGACTCGAGCTGTGGTCTGCCAAGCACCCTCCAAGCTGTCCAGCATGCGTGATACGGCAATGCTAAATTCTGCTGAAGGACACGCTCAGCAAAGAGAACAAGACTCCTTTTGCCGCTGGGCATCCGGTCATGCACTGTGTGAGACTCCTACAAAGCAAACAATGGCATCCTGCCGAAGTACTGCCCCGGCAAAGACCCTCAGCCCACCAGAAACACAAGCTCCGCCAACCAGAACTAGTCCAATGCAACCTCCACTAACCTTTAGGCAGTCGCAGGCACATCTGCCCAGCTACATGCACACTGCACACGCGCTAAAATGCTACAATGCTACTTGCAAGTGCTGCCTTACCTAGCCAATGGTCACACAGACTGTGCGTGAGACAAGGGGTCTGTGGCCAGCGTAACAAGGAATGAAGGCCCAGAGCCGGCTCAAGTCATCGGCTCAGCCTCTTGAACGCTCGTTCATCCTCCCCTTGTCAGAACCTTCATTGAAGGAACTTCACACACGCCGTGCGCCACTTGGCTTGAGCACACACAAGGCACAAACCTCATGGTTTCAAGAAGCGCTCTGCCCTTTCATGCCAGGCTGCTGGAAAATATCAAAAGCAAACTGCCTGTTGTTATGTATGTTTGCTGCTTTGCTTGCTTCAGTGCTGCTTCGACTCATTGCTGCTGTTCGGCTTCTCTTGCTTGCATTCAATCCTGACAAGGGCTGTGGTCTGCCAAGCACCCTCCAAGAAACTGTCCAGCATACGTGATATGGCAGTGGCTAAATGCTGCTGAAGGACACTCAGCAAAAAGAACAGGACTCCTTTTGCTGATGGGCTTCTGTCATGCACTGCGTGAGACTCCTACAAAGCAAAAACATCATTACACCGCAACAATGGCATCCTGCCAAAATACAGCCCCGGCAAACACCCTCAGCCCACCAGAAACACAAGCTGCGCCATCCAGAACTAGTCGAATCCAACCTCCACTAACCTTTAGGCAGTCGCAGGAACATCTGCCCAGCTGCATGCACATAAGCGCGGCCCGCTACACTGCTGCAATGGTACAACGCTACATGCAAGTGCTAGCTGACCTAGCCAAGGGTCACACGCACTGTGCGTGAGACAAGAGGTCTGTGGCCAGCGTAACAAGGAATAAAGGCCCAGAGCCGGCTCAAGTCATCGGCTCAGCCTCTTGAACGCTCGTTCATCCTCCCCCTTGTCAGAACCTTCATCGAAGGAACTTCACACACGCCGTGCGCCACTTGGCTTGAGCACACAAGGCACAAACCTCATGCTTCACAATGGCTCTGGAAAACATCAAAAGCAAACCGCATGTCGATATGTATGTTTGCTGCATTGCCTGCGACTCGAGCTGTGGTCTGCCAAGCACCCTCCAAGAAACTGTCCAGCATGCGTGATACGGCAATGCTAAATTCTGCTGAAGGACACGCTCAGCAAAGAGAACAAGACTCCTTTTGCCGCTGGGCTTCCGGTCATGTACTGTGTGAGACTCCTACAAAGCAAACAATGGCATCCTGCCGAAATACAGCCCCGGCAAACACCCTCAGCCCACCAGAAACACAAGCTGCGCCAACCAGAACTAGTCCAATGCAACCTCCACCCATCTTTAGGCAGTCGCAGGAACATCTGCCCAGCTACATGCACATAAGCGCGGCCCGCTACACTGCTGCGATGGTACAACGCTACATGCAAGTGCTAGCTGACCTAGCCAAGGGTCACACGCACTGTGTGTGAGACAAGGGGTCTGTGGCCAGCGTAACAAGGAATAAAGGCCCAGAGCCGGCTCAAGTCATCGGCTCAGCCTCTTGAACGCTCGTTCATCCTCCCCCTTGTCAGAACCTCCATTGAAGGAACTTCACACACGCCGTGCGCCACTTGGCTTGAGCACACACAAGGCACAAACTTCATGGTTTCAAGAAGCGCTGTGCCCTTCATTGCACGGGGCTGGAAACATCAAACACAAACCGCCTGTTGTTGTGTATGTTTGCTGCATTGCTTGCTTCAGTGCTGCTTCGACTCATTGCTGCTGTTCGGCTTCTCTTGCTTGCATTCAATCATGACAAGGGCTGTGGTCTGCCAAGCACCCTCCAAGAAACTGTCCAGCATGCGTGATATGGCAGTGGCTAAATGCTGCTGAAGGACACTCAGCAAAAAGAACAGGACTCCTTTTGCCGATGGGCTTCCGTCATGCACTGCGTGAGACTCCTACAAAGCAAAAACAGCATTACACCGCAACAATGGCACTCAGCCCACCAGAAACACAAGCTGCGCCATCCAGAACTAGTCGAATCCAACCTCCACCCATCTTTAGGCAGTCGCAGGAACATCTGCCCAGCTACATGCACATAAGCGCGGCCCGCTACACTGCTGCGATGGTACAACGCTACATGCAAGTGCTAGCTGACCTAGCCAAGGGTCACACGCACTGTGCGTGAGACAAGAGGTCTGTGGCCAGCGTAACAAGGAATAAAGGCCCAGAGCCGGCTCAAGTCATCGGCTCAGCCTCTTGAACGCTCGTTCATCCTCCCCCTTGTCAGAACCTTCATCGAAGGAACTTCACACACGCCGTGCGCCACTTGGCTTGAGCACACAAGGCACAAACCTCATGCTTCACAATGGCTCTGGAAAACATCAAAAGCAAACCGCATGTCGATATGTATGTTTGCTGCATTGCCTGCGACTCGAGCTGTGGTCTGCCAAGCACCCTCCAAGAAACTGTCCAGCATGCGTGATACGGCAATGCTAAATTCTGCTGAAGGACACGCTCAGCAAAGAGAACAAGACTCCTTTTGCCGCTGGGCTTCCGGTCATGCACTGTGTGAGACTCCTACAAAGCAAACAATGGCATCCTGCCGAAATACAGCCCCGGCAAACACCCTCAGCCCACCAGAAACACAAGCTGCGCCAACCAGAACTAGTCCAATGCAACCTCCACCCATCTTTAGGCAGTCGCAGGAACATCTGCCCAGCTACATGCAAGTGCGAGCTGACCTAGCCAAGGGTCACACGCACTGTGCGTGAGACAAGGGGTCTGTGGCCAGCGTAACAAGGAATGAAGGCCCAGAGCCGGCTCAAGTCATCGGCTCAGCCTCTTGAACGCTCGTTCATCCTCCCCTCAGAACCTTCATTGAAGGAACTTCACACACGCCGTGCGCCACTTGGCTTGAGCACATACAAGGCACAAACCTCATGGTTTCGAGGAACGCTCTGCCATTCGTTGCACGGGGCTGGAAAACATCAAAATCAAACTGCTTGTCGTTGTGTATGTTTGCTGCATTGCTTGCTTCAGTGCTGCCTCAAACTGTTGCTGCTGTTCAGCTTCCCTTGCTAGCATTCAGACATAACACGGGCTGGGGTCTGTCAAGCACCCTGCAAGAAACTGTCCAGCATACGTGATATGGCAGTGGCTAAATGCTGCTGAAGGACACTCAGCAAAAAGAACAGGACTCCTTTTGCCGATGGGCTTCCGTCATGCACTGCGTGAGACTCCTACAAAGCAAAAACAGCATTACACCGCAACAATGGCATCCTGCCAAAATACAGCCCCGGCAAACACCCTCAGCCCACCAGAAACACAAGCTCCGCCAGTCACTGTGAATCCAAACTCCACGAATCTTGAAGCAGTTGCAGCAACATCTGCCCAGCTACATGCACACTGCGCGCGCTCTAAAGTGCTACTACCTGACCTAGCCAATGGTCACACAGACTGTGCGTGAGACAAGGGGTCTGTGGCCAGCGTAACAAGGAATGAAGGCCCAGAGCCGGCTCAAGTCATCGGCTCAGCCTCTTGAACGCTCGTTCATCCTCCCCCTTGTCAGAACCTTCATTGAAGGAACTTCACACACGCCGTGCGCCACTTGGCTTGAGCACAGACCAGGCACAAACCATATGGTTTCAAGAAGCGCTGCGCCCTTCATTGCACGTGCTGGAAAACATCAAAAGCAAACCGCCTCTCGTTATGTATGTTTGCTGCATTGCTTGCTTCAGTGCTGCTTCGACTCATTGCTGCTGTTCGGCTTCTCTTGCTTGCGTTCATTCATGACAAGGGCTGTGGTCTGCCAAGCACCCTCCAAGAAACTGTCCAGCATACGTGATATGGCAATGGCTAGATGCCGCTTAAGGACACAGTCAAGAAAAAATTAAAGGACCGGATAACCCCACATGTCCATGCTTATGAAGATGCGCCACCCTTACATCGATTGAGGATCGCAGGCTGTAAAAGCAACCTGACATGCGGCCAGACGCTTTTTTTTGCATGCGCCAAGCTCTTCTGGTAAAAGCACCTCCCCAATAGTGGGTCGCACGCAAGCAGCCTGTCTTCCAAAGTCACGCTTGCAGCTGCGTGTGATCGCAGCAATACCAATAAGCATCGCTCGAAAGTGTCCAGCCACAAAGCTTGAGGTGTCTATGTGACTCCCACCAAGGGCGCACTTTGGCCGACATTCAGTAAACAGTGACTCGCCACCCATCTGGGAGTTCGGGCCACTCCAAGGAGCCAAGGGAACCACTCCCAGGAGCCAGGTCGGGTTGAGCCCGTTGGCCGCGCTTCAGCCAAGCGCGCGCGGTCAGCTCGCCCTCAATCTGTTCTTTCAACCACGTCAGCTGGCTTTCGTTCCAGCCGATGAGCATCTCCCGCAACCGGCTGCCTGCCACGATTTCACGCTTGCATATCCAAAGTGCTGCGAGTGCCACGCAAGATGGGGGCCCACAGCCGCGCGCGCGACAACACCCCAGCCCTTTAGACAGCTCCCAAATGCTGCCCCTGCCACGCAAACGCAAGCCCAGGCCACGACTTCAGCACTTGCATCTCCAAAGTGAAACGCGAGAAGCTGCAACATCCTGCCCGACGCTGCCCTGCACGCAAGCCCAGGTGCACGAAGCATCTCCACGAAGCCTTCCAAAGTGCTGCGCCACGCAAAGATGGCCCACAGCCGCGCGCGCGACAACACCCCAGCCCTTTAGACAGCTCCCAAATGCTGCCCCTGCCACGCAAACGCGAAGTACTGCGCCTGCCACGACTTCAGCACTTGCATCTCCAAAGTGCTGCGCCTGCCACGCGAGATGGGGGCCCACAGCCGCGCGCGCCACAACATCCCAGCCCTTTAGACAGCTCCCAAACGCTGCCCCTGCCACGCAAACGCAAGCCCAGGTGCGCGAAGTACTGCGCCTGCCACGATTTCAGCACTTGCCTCTCCAAAGTGCTGCGAGTGCCACGCAAGATGGGGGCCCACAGCCGCGCGCGCGACAACACCCCAGCCCTTTAGACAGCTCCCAAATGCTGCCCCTGCCACGCAAACGCAAGCCCAGGTGCACGAAGTACTGCGCCTGCCACGATTTCAGCACTTCAATCTCCAAAGCGCTGCGAGTGCCACGCGAGATGGGGGCCCACAGCCGCGCGCGCGACAACACCCCAGCCCTTTAGACAGCTCCCACATGCTGCCCCTGCCACGCAAACGCAAGCCCAGGTACACGAAGCACTGCGCCTGCCACGACTTCAGCACTTGCATCTCCAAAGTGCTGCGCCTGCCACGCGAGATGGGGGCCCACAGCCGCGCGTGCCACAACATCCCAGCCCTTTAGACAGCTCCCAAACGCTGCCCCTGCCACGCAAACGCAAGCCCAGGTGCACGAAGTACTGCGCCTGCCACGATTTCAGCACTTGCCTCTCCAAAGTGCTGCGCCTGCCACGCGAGATGGGGGCCCACATCCGCGCGCGCGCGACAACATCCCAGCCCTTTAAACAGCTCCCAAATGCTGCCTCTTCCACGCAAACGCAAGCCGTGTGTGAGTGAGTGTGTGTGAGCCAGCGTGTGTGAGTGAGTGTGTGTGAGTGAGTGTGTGTGAGTGAGTGAGTGTGTGTGACTGAGTGTGTGTGAATCAGTGTGTGTGAGTGAGTGTGTGTGAGTGAGTGACTTTGTGCGGGCGAGTGAGTGAGTGAGTGTGAGTGAGTGTGAGTGAGTGAGTGTGTGTGAGTGAGTGTGTGTGAGTGAGTGTGTGTGAGTGAGTATGTGTGTGAGTGAGTGTGTGTGAGTGAGTGTGTGTGAGTGAGTGTATGTGAGTGAGTGTGTGTGAGTGAGTGTGTGTGAGTGAGTGTGTGTGAGTGAGTGAGTGTGTGTGAGTGAGTGTGTGTGAGTGAGTGTGTGTGAGTGAGTGAGAGCGACGGGGCGGCAGCGGCGGCGGGAGTCGGGCGCGGAGTGTGTGTGAGTGAGTGAGTCGGGCGCGGCGGCGGGGGTCGGGCGCGGCGGCGGGAGTCGGGCGCGCAGCGCTAAAAATAAGAACCCCACACAAAGATGTGGGGAAAAAGGAAAGAAAAAAAAAAACGGGGAAACAAAAAAGAAAAAAAAGAAAAAAGGAAAAGAAAAAAGAAGGAAAAAATAAGGGGAAGAAAACAAAAATCTTTCTGCCGCTGGGCTTGCGTCATGCACTGTGTGACACTCCTACAAAGCTTGAAAAGAACACGACACCACAACAACCGTGGCATCCTGCCGAAATACAGCCCCCGGCAAACACCCTCAGCCCACCAGAAACACAAGCTCCGCCAACCAGAACTAGTCGAATCCAACCTCCACCCATCTTTAGGCAGTCGCAGGAACATCTGCCCAGCTCCATGCACATAAGCGCGGCCCGCTACACTGCTGCTATGGTACAACGCTACATGCAAGTGCTAGCTGACCTAGCCAAGGGTCACACAGACTGTGCGTGAGACAAGGGGTCTGTGGCCAGCGTAACAAGGAATGAAGGCCGAGAGCCGGCTCAAGTCATCGGCTCAGCCTCTTGAACGCTCGTTCATCCTCCCCCTTGTCAGAACCTTCATTGAAGGAACTTCACACACGCCGTGCGCCACTTGGCTTGAGCACACACCAGGCACAAACCTCATGATTTCGAGGAACGCTCTGCCATTCGTTGCACGGGGCTGGAAAACATCAAAATCAAACTGCTTGTCGTTGTGTATGTTTGCTGCATTGCTTGCTTCAGTGCCGCCTCCAACTGTTGCTGCTGTTCAGCTTCCCTTGCTAGCATTCAGACATAACACGGGCTGGGGTCTGTCAAGCACCCTGCAAGAAACTGTCCAGCATACGTAATATGGCAGTGGCTAAATGCTGCTGAAGGACACACTCAGCAAAAGGAACAGGACTCCTTTCCCGATGGGCCTCCGTCATGCACTGTGTGAGACTCCTAAAAAGCAAAAACAGCATTACACCGCAACAATGGCATCCTGCCAAAATACAGCCCCGGCAAACACCCTCAGCCCACCAGAAACACAAGCTCCGCCAACCAGAACTAGTCCAATGCAACCTCCACTAACCTTTAGGCAGTCGCAGGAACATCTGCCCAGCTGCATGCACATAAGCGCGGCCCGCTACACTGCTGCAATGGTACAACGCTACATGCAAGTGCTAGCTGACCTAGCCAAGGGTCACACGCACTGTGCGTGAGACAAGGGGTCTGTGGCCAGCGTAACAAGGAATAAAGGCCCAGAGCCGGCTCAAGTCATCGGCTCAGCCTCTTGAACGCTCGTTCATCCTCCCCCTTGTCAGAACCTTCATTGAAGGAACTTCACACACGCCGTGCGCCACTTGGCTTGAGCACGG